GAAGGAATTTTAAGTGGAGAGCATAAACAAAAGTGATTGCATCAATTGCATTCAACAGGTGCAGCTATTTGCAGCATGGAGAGGGGGGTCCCTGCTTGCCACGTGGTGGTAAAGATGAGGAGTCTTTATCGGGGGGGGAAAAAGGCTGGTAACCCTAATGCAGCACTGACATTCTCACTGTGTTCCAAATATGCAGAACTTTTTGGATCTCAGTAAATTCACTGAATTTACTTCTCTGAAACAAAATTCTTGCCCTTATTCCTTCTGCCATTTAAATAGAGCTGGCATGTAATGGGGGCAAATTATAGGTGAATCAAGGAACCCACAATTGGCCATGGTGTATGTTGGGTGTGCTGCACAGTCATTTTGAATTTTCAGCCTCCAGGTGTTGCTATTTGATGTGTGAACCTGGACATTGTATGTGTATTATGGGTTAACTGTGGCTTGTTTAACCCACAAATAACCAACAGTGCCTGGTTTGGTTGTCATGCCTCAGCCGTCAGCTGGCCTGATTGTTGGGGGATGGGGTTGGATATCAAGTGCTGTGGCAAATCATGTGATAGTTAATTAAGGGGAACTGTTGGCTGCATGGAAGATAAGAAACCTGATAGTTTGCTACTTGTGAAGAGAACCTTCACCAGTCATTGAGAGTAAGAAAATTTGCTTATGTTCATCAGACTTTGGTTTGGTTTGAATTTTCCTTTGCTGACTGTGTTTTAACAGTTCTGTTCGGAAGTGCTCTGTTTTTATTGTAGTTTGATTTTAAGAGTTGCAAACTGACCCAGGATCCCTTCCCAGGAATAGAAGATGGCGTGTTCATGAATTTAATAAATAAAGAATGCTAAAGGAGAGAAGAATAGGTTGGAGAAAGCTAATGTGATGGGTGGGGGAGGGGCTAGGTTATCCTACCCCTCCTGTTTTATTCTCACAACAACCCTGTGTGGTAGACTAGTCCGAGAGAGAATATCTACCCAACATCAGCTTCATGGCTGAGAAAGGACCGGAACGCTGGTCTTGCAGCACTCTGCCCACTGCGCAGCACTGGCTCTCAGCGTGGAGCTGGATTTGCTCCTTCCTTAATTACTCAGGATTCTAGACCTCATGATTTCAGGCAAGCGATCCGAAACCAAGACCAGTGAACAGAGGGCATATTGCTGCCCTGGTGGATATTATTTTCAGATCGTGGAACTTGAACACTTTGGCTTAGATTAGCTTGTTTTCTTCATTTCCTTTGGTGCAGAGTATGCCAGCAGCCTTAATTCTAGGTTTCCAGCAGCCTGGACTGCATTTGGAATTTTATGCCATTACAGGGTGGCGGGGGAGCGAATTCTCCCACAGAAAGGGATGAGTCTGGGCTTCTTCTCATTGGCAAGCAGAAGGCACTCCATGTGATCCTGCTTTTTCCGGCTTACAAGTGCTGCTGCAAGGAGTGATTGGGTCAAGAGGCTTCTTAACACACAAAAATAGGGATTAACACATGGATCAAGCGTGGCAAACCAGGCTTAAAGGGAAAGCAAGGATTCCGCTCATATCCGCTGCAGTGCTGAGCTCTGCTTGGCAACTCAGTCACCAGCGCTCTCTGTTGGGGGTCAGTTGTCCCCCATCTTTCAAGGTATCATCTGGAAATTTAGAAACCAGCAGATTGGTGTATCCTGCAATGCTGAATCACAAAGGAAACTGCCTCATATTGTCCTATGGAGTGACCACGTTGGAATATGAGGTGGAGTCCTGCCCACTGTGCCCCCTGGAAATGGTGCAGGAAAGGGCAACTTTAATAATGCCCCAGTGAGGAAGAGCGGCAATGTTTGGGTTTCTTAGGCTGGGAAAGGAGTTGAGTAGAGATGGGCTGTCTTCCCCACTCCCTCTCTCGCAATGCTGGGAGCTGATGGAGTTGTCCTCTGCAGCTGGATGATGGGAGATTTGGGAGATAAATCCTCCTTCCTACAGTACCCTGTTCAGCTATGAAATTGACTCTCACAAAATGTAATGACTGTCACTTTAGATGGCTTTAAAACAGGATTAGACAAATTAATGGAGGGTAAGGTGATCCATGGCTACTAGCCTTGCAATATATTTTGTCAGTTTTGAAACAACCATCCTGACTTCCAATCCTTTTTTAGGCTTAATTCCAAATGTTAACCTCTTTTTAAAATAGTCTCATGCTTTAAGGGGCACCATCTCTGCCTGGATTTATTTATTTATTTCATTTTATACTGAAACAAATGAAGCTTTCTGGGCAGTTAACAGTCCATTTCTGGAACCCCCTACCCCTTTGGGAACCTGCTGGAACCTTTTTTTTTTTAAATTTGTCTGGGTCATTTAGACGTCTGATTTTAAGATTATATGTTATTTTAAGTGCTGTTGGGTTTTTGTTTAAACTTCATCTTATGCTACTCTGCTGTTTTTGAAACATTTTACTGATGGTACTTCTAGATATCTGCTAGGCATTCAGCTTGCCTTTGAATTTTAGCAACTTAGATGCACGAACTATATTTTGAGGCAAGGGTGTCATCTTTCTTTGGCTGACAGGCCTCTACAGTGCTTGATGGATTGCCTCTCTGCCCAATCCAAAAATGCCTTTTCCTTGCTTACCTGCTATTCAGTTGATGCATCGTATTGTAGTCATCTGTCCAGATACATAACAGCTGTAAGCTCTACTTGTCTCTCGCCCCCCCCACCCCGCTTTCAGAACCTGTTCCTTATTCTCAGACTTACTGCTTAATATCAATTTTTCATGGTTTCATTTGTTTGCTTTCTTTTAGAGGGTTGTCTAAGCATATGTCCTTGAGAGTTACTTGAGAGATCCCAAACTGATACGACTCCCAATACTAAGACATAGTCTGGGTCCATGTCCTTACTGGGGTGGGGGTGGGGGTGGGGGTGGGGGGGGATACTGAAATAGGAGGAAAAGGATGGTGCATCCGCCTCGGTTGCCAAATGTTGGTTAAATCAAAGACATATTTAGAGTAGTCCTTCAGGTATTTCAGATTTGCAGTTGCCTGGTTGGAGACAAGACCGTGACCTCTGCGGCCCACGGACTTGATGCCTTTTCCCTGCCCCTTTATTTTTATATTTTTTTATTAAAACATTTTTATGCTGCCCCATTCGCCGAAGCCTCGGGGCGGCTTACAAACAATAAATAAAGTTAATTATAAAATAAATCGCAACACATATAAACATTAAAAATCCAAAAAATGCAATCTAAAATAAGCCGCCCTGGCCAGATAAGATCAAATAATATTAACAGTTAAAATACCACTTAAATAAAAAGGTCTTCGCCTGGTGCCGAAAAGCAAATAACGACGGCGCCAGGCGGGCCTCTCTAGGGAGCGCATTCCATAACTTAGGCGCTCTCTTAGGTTGGGAAAGCAACCTGGGAGAGGGTGCGAAGGGGGTGTGCTAGTGAATGCAGAGGGGAAGAAGGCTGGAGAGGTCAGGATTATTTATTTATTTATTTATTTATTTATTTATTTATTTATTTATTAAAACAGTGCTATGCCGCCCCTTGCCGAAGCCTCGGGGCGGCTTACAACACAATAAAATACAAAAATAACAATATAAAATTAAAATTAACAACATAAAATAAATAAACAATATAAAAGAAGTCAATATAAAAGTCAATATAAAAGATTCCACGCCTCTGCAGGGGAAGGACACCTCTGAACTCACAGGGTTGTAGCCACCACAATAGGATTGGATTCCTTCCTTTATTTTATTTGTACCTGCCTTTCTTCCAAAAATGGCTCTCAAGACAGCTTTGTAAGCATCTGTGACCGGTTAGACATGAGCTGTGATCACAGTGTTAGGAGAACTTCCAGAGAGGACGTGGATAGCCATGCGTTGTTCCCGAACTTGGGGGGAAATGTGCTTGCCTGTGAAGTTCCCTAAAATTTACCAGTTTCCACTAGTCAGCATAATATGAGAAGCTTAGGAGAGACATGTTTCTTCTGTCAGTTCAACCTTCTCTTCCTTCGGTGGCCAACCAGCCGTGGGAGATGAGAAGCTGTGCTGAGCTGGGAGGGCTTACCTCCTGCCCTTCTCACGTCCTGTGGCTACTGCAGACTCACCAGGCAGCCTGTGCACGTTGGTCAGCCTTATTCTTGGAGCCATGAGGACTAGTCACTTACACAGTCATAGAGGTCTGTGTACCTCAAACATCACTCAAAAGTAAGGGTAGTTCAGGTGAGAAGGGGGTAAGTGCATCAGCGCAGCATGCAGGATGGTCAACCAGCCATTGTTTCATCTGGCTAATGCAAGCACAAATATTGGTTGGGCTTCTGCAAAGCTCAGGATGCTGTGGAGCACAGGAAAACCTCTCCTCATTTCTCAGTGTCCTTTTTTTTGTTCTGGTTCTGTTGGCACTCGCCCTCCAAGGCTGCTCCTAGACAAAATGGTGGAGATTTAAGCAGGCAGGACCATCAGTGTGCATACTGATTTCTTTTGCGAGATTGAAGGAAGAATTCCCTAAAGGGATGTAGATTTGCTGTTTGTTCTATTAACAGCTGAAGTACTAGAAATCCAGGAGTCACTTGCCAGTGGATGAATAGCTTCCACAGTGAGTGGAAGACTTCTGATACTGCCCTGTGTTCATCGCATAAAATGGGGGGAAGATACAGGGGAAAGAAGATTTCTTATTCAAAGTGAGAGGTTTAATACTAGTCACTGCTAATTTAATATGATTTTTTATAAATATACTTTGCCTTAGTCTGCCTTCTCTTTGACCTTAGGATCCTGTTTCTCTTCCCCAAAGGGTATGACTTGGTTTGTTTCTTAAGTATAGAATAATAATTTGAATCCTCATAGTCAAGAAAGATAACTGGGGAAGGCTCTAGATGGAACGTTATTCCAAAGGCAGTTGCCTCTTCAGGGAAATCCACTCCAAGCTTTGACTACCATTCAAGCGGTCTGAATTGCCCGTGTGATGCAAATGGTCACGCACATTTTTCAGATAAAACTTCCTCATGATCTCTTTCCCTCCCCTTTGTTTTACCCTTCTGCAGCTGGTTCTGCTGATCATCTGTGAAACCTCTTTCTGATGACAAAGGAGTCTGAAGGCATCACGCTTTGCACGGTGACTGACCCAACTTGCAGATTGGAGTCTGGTTCAGGGTTGCTGGTTGGCCACAGAATTGGGGGTAAGGTGACATTTCTCTGTGTGGGCGAAGCCGGTACCTCTTCAGTTTCTTTAATTCATCTGCCTTTTTGCAAACATGGGACTGCCTTTTTCAAGCCCTTGCATCACCATCAGCAAAATGTGCTCGTGTTCTGGAAATGCATCCTTCCAAAAGGAATTTGACTTCTTGTTTGATTGTCAACAGTTCTGCCCTGATCATTTTTAAAGCCATCTTTGTGGTTATAGCCACTGACTTGCTGTCCCCCTGTTAAACAGGCATCCTGACTTAACCCGAAGGCTCTGTAATTTCCTTCCTCCTTCCACACTTACTGCATGAAACAGTTTTATGGGTCCTTATGTTCCAAAACATTGCTGTGGGTAGGAGCATTATAAAGACAGAAGTTATTTTAATGTCGGGGCAATCCTGTGGGCCCCTGGACAGCATCAAAAGGATCTTTGGAGTCCCAGTTCTGTGTTGGGAGGGCATTTTCTCTAGTATTTTATTATATTTTATCAGTTGTTCTAAGCTGCCGAGATTGCTTCTGATATTGGGCAGTGTAGGCACAAACTAAATAATAATTCTCTTAATAGTTCGTCCTAAATGGTCCATTTAAAAAAATAATGCCTTCTTAGGCAACAGATCAGAAACATGTTAATGGATTCAATAAGTATTTTCAGAGGGGTAGCTGCCTTGGAATTTTGCAGCACAATAAACCTGTTGACCTGAATACCCAAAGTCTCTGTTGTGGCAGAAACCATTGGCACCTCCACATCCAAGCAGCTGCCAGCCCTCCTGCTTCTTCCTGTTTCCTTTCCAGGTTCTTTCATCCCTGCACTTGCTGCTGAAACTTGGCTGCAGGCACCTTTTCTTGCATCGCTGCAAACATTCTCTTTCTTCTTTTCTGCGGGTGATCCTCCCAAGAGACCCCTCATTTTGCCACAGCAGAATCCTGCCTCGTTAAGCTCTCTGTTGCAAGCAAGCCTGCCCTGCCCTCTTCCGCTTTGTCCGATCCAAAGAGGACAAGGTGCTTTCTGCCAATGCTTTTTTACCATTTTTGTAGCTGCTCCTCCCTGTTCTGTTTTGCCCATGCTGACTTGGTTGAGTCTGTGAGGATGCACGTCTCGCCCGTTGGCTGGTCTGCTCTGGAGCTGTCGGAGGGCTGCTCTTACCAAGCACATGTCACCTGTGGCCACTCACTGTAGCTTTGTGTCCCTCGCTGATGATTTGAAAAAGGAAGCTGCCCACTTCCTTCCCTCTGGCCCATGACCTTTTGAGACCTGTAAGGAAAGTAAAACCCGGGAATGACCACGTAGAATCCAGATGTTCCATCTGGGGCAGGAAGCTCGGCTCTGCTCCTGAGCTGCCAGTCTAAAAATAACTGTCCATCCCAGGCTTGGGCTGCCAGGTGCATGCTGGTCGTCCAAGGCGGCCCGTCCAGATAGACGCAAGAGTATGTTGGAACAACCTCGTATTGCTCTCTCTCGCTTCACTGCAGCATCACTCGGCACCCAGTGAGTTCAGGCTTCAGAGGAATTTGCTTTCAAAGGGAATATTCAGCCCCAAAGGGTTTTTCATGTAATTTTAGAAAAAGTCAACAGCAAAGGGGAAAGAAAACAAGGGAAAGGAATGGTCAGACGTGCGTTTGTGCCAGTGCAGCCTTCCCCAGCGTGATGTCCTGTAGATGTTTGGGGCTACAATTCTGACCTTTCCTGACCCTTGGTCATGTCCTCTCGGGCTTATGGGGATTGCAGTCCAAACCATCTGGAGGGGGCTGTGTTGGGGAAGACTCTACTAGCCAGATGAAACGGATATCCAGCTTTGAAAGCATTCTCTCTCCGCTGAGCTCTCCTACAATTCCGAGTAGTATAAAGTTGCGACGCCTGCAAGGACAAAGCTGACAGAAGTCCACAGGCTGCTCAAAACTAGGGTAGTTCAGAGGAGAGAGAACAGGCAGCTGCATAATGTGGAGCCAGGGTGGTGTCGTGGTTAAGAGCAAGGGACTGGGACTCAGACGACCTGGGTTCGAGTCCCCACTCAGCCATGGAGCCAACTGGGTGACTTTGGGCCAGTCACAGACTCTCAGCCCAACCTACCTCGCAGGGTTGTGGGGATAAGATGGAAGAGGAGAATGATGTTAGCTGCCTTGAGCCCTTTGCAGGAAAAAGGCAGGATATAAATCAATAAATAATAACTAATAATAATAATTCTTGGAAGTCCGGGCAGGGAGGGAGAGCAAGCTGTCTGGTAACAAGGTGCGTGATGCTCAGCGCTGGAAACAGATTTGCCCAGAATGTTTCATCCCATCGCCTTTTAGCACTATCATTCTGATAATAATTTTCTCAAGGAGACACAGAGGTTCATTTATATTCCTCGGACTTGAAACTGCTGTGCTCAACTGCTGCTCCTGCAGTCATTCTGAGCTGGCCGAGTTGCATCCTGGGGCATGCAGCAAGCTCGAATTCACACGAAAAGCCGTATATTTTGGGTCCCTTCTTGGTTCCTGGCTGCTTCAGAACTCACTGGAACCCAAAGTGCTGGCCTGTTGCCCCTTTGTGGGTGCAAAAAAGGGGAAGTGCACACTGCTCCTGCAGGGATTTTCTGGTGTTTGAAGCAACCTCCAGTTGAACAGCAGGCTATGGTGAAGGTTCTTGGGGTTTCGGTCCTTCATATTTATTTATTTAAAACATTTCTATGCCGCCCCCATCGCAACAAAGCCTCGGGGCGGCTCACAAAGAATACATAAATACATACATAAATAATGATAATATAACAATTTTAAAAAATCGTTTAAAAACCCCCAGTGCACTCTCGGCTAAAAATTTTAAAATCCTAATTAATTCAATAATTTAACGATTAAAATAAGTTTTAAATAAAAAGGTCTTAGCCTGGCACTGAAAAACAAATAAGGACAGCGCCAGGCAGACCTCTCTGGGGAGCGCATTCCATAGATGGGGCAGAGAAAGGTACTCACCCTCCTAATATCATTCACAGAGGGTTCCCGGAGAAGGGCATCTGTTGCTGATCTCAAGGGGTGGGAGGGCATATATGGGCGCAAGCGTTCCTTTAGATGTCCAGGTCCCAAGCCGTTTAGGGCTTTATAGGTCATCACCAACACCTTGAATTGGGCCCGGACTTCAATCGGGAGCCAGTGGAGCTGACGGATAACTGGGGTTATATGAGAACAACGCCCAGTCCCCGTCAGCAGCCTGGCAGCTCTATTCTGCACCAACTGAAGTATCCGGACCGTCTTTGGATGCACCACTGTTATCTGCTTGTTGCAATTTTAGCTCAGGGGTGGGAGAAGATGACAAATGAGCTAGGGAAATGGGGTTGAAGAGAAAAAAATGCCAAAAATAGCGTTTCCAAAGTACAACTGGGGCACTGTGGAAGGGGTCATGGGTTGTCAGACTGGAGGTTATGAAAACTGGCTTGCAGATTGGGGGGCTGCGATCTTCAGAAAGGAAAAGATCAAAGTGAGAGTTGTTTCCCTCTGGAACAAGCCCAGTCTCTGGGTTCCAATGATACCTCAAGCCGCATCCTGGGATGTGATTAGGGAAAGCGTGGCTGGCACACCCCACTGATTAAAGCAAGCCAACCTGGCTTATTCAAGCCAGGATGGCTTGCTTGATTGTACAAACCAGCAAAGAGAAAGAGAGTGAACATGCTTTGGGATGCTTCCACTCTTAATCATTAGAAAGTCAGTTTTAATTCCCCCTGCTGTGGCAGAACAGCTGTCCAAAGAAATTCAACCCTAAACATAATGGCTAGTTGGAAGGATAAGAACAGGGACTGGGAGATTCTGGAAGCTGCAGTAGCTACACCTGAACTAGCTACCTCAGCCGGCAAACTTTTGTAAGATATCCTTTAGTATTTACTCACTGCACAATATAATTGGGATGGCAATAAAGAGAAGTGCATTTGTGTTTGAATTACCATATTTTTTGCTCTATAACACGCACCTGACATAAGACGCACCTAGTTTTTAGAGGAGGGATCCATGGAAAGCTTCCTGATAATCACAGGCACATTCCCCATCACTTCCCCATGGGCTTCATTAAAAGACGGGTTGCCATTTGAAAACACACACCGACCTGTGATTAACAGCTCTCACCTGTGCCGGAGGAGGGGGGTGGAGCAGGGCACGCCAAGCATGTGCCGGCCAGGTGGTGCCATGTGGTGCAGGTGGGCCGGCAGCGTCCCGGGCATCGGGCACACACACATTCGCTCTATAAGATGCACAGACATTTCCCCTTACTTTTGAGGGGGGAAAAAGTACGTCTTATAGAGTGAAAAATATGGTAAGTGTTCTTAAGTTGCAAAGCAAGTTGGTACTGCTGGTGTTAAGCTGTGGGAATTTTAACAATTTAGAAGTTGTATAGTTGGACTCTTTTATGGTGGTCTGAGAGTTTGCATGGAAAAGGAATTACCGTCCTAATGAGATGGTTGAAATTGTGTGATGCTTTGGCATTGGACCAGACTGAGGAAGCCTGGCCTGGGAGAGGAACAGCACCAGATAGAATGGAAGTAAAATACGGTCGTGGACAACGTGAATTGGAGGAAAGAAAAACACACTTTTCTTTTCTCACTATAATTCTCTCTAGGGTGTCATAGCGCACTTTCTCATTTCCACAGGATATCCCGTTGTAGGTCCAACAGGATTCATGTCAGATGGCTCGCATTGTTTTCTTGCGGGGGCTGCCTCCCACTCTCCCGGTAGATCTACAGCGCATTTGCCAGACAAAGTGTTCCCCTCCCACCACTCAGTTTATCTGAAACGGCCTTTCCCAGCCAAGATCTACCTAGACTGATGCACCCTGGCTGTGTCCCGTGTGGGAGATGGTTGCTCTGCGAAGGGACGCACGCTGTTAAAGCCATGGGGATAGACCACACATGTTGCCACAACAACCCCAAGATCCTTCTCTTCTCATTCGCAGTATCGTTCAGCCAGTCATCAGTTCAGTCCATTCAAAGGGAGGCTGCAACCAAGAAATTTGATGAAGACTGAGCCTTGGAGGGGCAGCAACCAAGGAGCTAGACAAGGTCATCCCATGTAAGGGTGTTTCACTGGAGACCCAAGGCGAGGATCGTCCACAGCATTGCATTCGCCGTCACCGTCTGTGGTGAGGAAGCGGGGCAGTGAAGAAAGTGGCAAGAAGAAAATGAATGTGTTTGAAACACGGTGCTGGAGGAGAGCTTCGCACAGACCCTCGGCTGACAGAAAGATAAAGTCGTGAGTTTGAGATGCGCTCGAGCTGGACCTTCCCCTGCAGGCCAGGATGACAACACGGAGTCTGGCCTGCTGCAGACGCATCACGAGAAGGCGAGACTCGCTGGTGAAGACAATCCTTCTAGGGAAAGTCAAAGGCAGAAGAAGAGGAAGACCAAACGAGGGATGGGTGGGTGGACCCCACAAAGGAAGCCACAGCCTTGAACTTCAGGCAGCTAAGCAGGTTGTCTTAGGCAGGACGTTTTGGAGAACGTTCGTTCACAGGGTCGCCATAAGCTGCAGATGACTGGATGGCACATAGTAACTTCCTCACCCCCCACCTCCAGCATGTGCTTCCCTGCATACCCAGCTTCTTCACTCCTTGGCTTAAAAGGACCCTGAGCGAATGTGTATAGCTCTTCAGCCTCGCCCTCGGCCAGAAAGAACAAGCCTGCGGAAGTGGACCTAGGACTGTCCAGGGCCAGGGTGGAACCATTGAGCTGGCCGGGCTGGAAACAGTGCTAGTCCTGTAGTCTGTTTCCATGGAACCAGGAGATTGGCTCCCAGTTGATGCCGGGAAGCAGCGTTTTCTTGATTCCAAGTGCATGTAAGGAGCATCGAAACATCTCCTTCGTATGATTCTTCCCCTCGTAGGGCCAACAGCAGCTATCTTGGGATCTGTGGTGGTTGGATATGGCTGCAGACAGGCTCTGCATGCAGAGAACGATGGTCATTAAACGGGCAGAGGAGAATCGCAGCTCCGCAGGGACCGTGGGGTCACCTGCTGGGGGTCTTCCACTGGCCACACTTCTATTTCCAGAACAGCCTGTGTTGTTTGAATAGCTGTCAGTGAGAAACAGGCACTAGAGAGGGTCCCACGCACACATCCTGCTTGGGGGCTCCACAGCATCTTCTTGGTGGTGGTGGGAAACAGGAGGAAGGGTCACGGTTCCCAAACTTTTTGGCCCCATGGACACATTTGGGAATCCGAGAATAAAAAACACCCCATCTATGGATTGCTGCATTTGTGGGTCGCAGGCGTCATCGTATTTTGCAAAACTTTTTGGTTTGTGTCTAATAATTAGATGTCACAATGATTCTTTAATAAGGGATTGTCTAATTCAGCTAATTGCTGGTGGTGTAATGCAGCTAACGCGTCTTTTGAATATATGTTTTGGCAACGCCTGGGAGTTGCTTCTTTTGTGGAGGAGGTTATTGTACAGATAAATTTTGCACTGGAATGGTCTTTAGGAATTCACTCATGGATACACTCTTAATTATGTACCTGCTTCACGGAAATTAAGAATGGCCTGTGCAAATGAGTCCACTCCCACATTGGGAAGAGCAACCTTTACTTCCTACACCATGTCGAAGCCACCTTCAAATGGATGCTTAGCTGGCTTTCATTGAAGTGGACACAAATTGCTAGGAAGTTTTCTGTGTTTCATACAAGTCTATGCATATTTATTTGAAAAGTTGGGTGTCCATGGGCATCATTTTGGAGACGCCAAGCTTAATCTTTTCTCTGATCCAACATGGTTCTTCTATGAGTCAGGGTAAATGTGTCATCTGCATATTCAGGCTGAGTAATGGCACATTGTTTACAAGTTCTGCACTTCTAAATGCTCTTTGGAACATGTGTGACTGGCCCAGAGACCTGGTCCTTGTCAGCTCGGGTGTTGACACCTGCGCCAGCGAACACAGAGTCACCTGTATCCCCGGGTCCTGGTTGGTGCATTGAATCTGTACTGAAGGATCCATACTGCGGAACTGCTCCTCTGATCTATGTCTGTAGCAGACTCTTCTGCTTCCCAAGAATAATTTATTTTGTCCTTTGACTCGGCAAAGGCTCTTTCTCCCCTTTTCTTCTCCCACCCCCTCCCTCTCTTTGCTTTCTTCTCTCCCTCCCACTCCCCCCCTCCCAACATGCCTCTCACTCATTGGGATTGTCTCTCTCCACTTTTGGGGTGGTGATAGTGGAATTTTCCCTCAATGAGGTTGTTTCTCCTCTGCAGGGAAAAGGAACTGTCATGCTTAATGAGCCGAAATGACAAGTGGTGTCAGCTTAGATCAACATCCCGAGTGCAGCTCGTTTTGCTTCCCTTTCAGCATTTGTCTTTTGCAGGCGGCTCCCCCGAGAAGTGGCTCCTGATTAGCCCTGCCCTGGGATTTTCCTTGCTGTTTGAGGACAGAGTACAGGCAGCCACGGGGGCAGTTGGAGTGGCTCGGCCCGCCTTCCGCCCCACTCCCTAAGACCATCTGTGCTCCTGCCAACCCAAGTAGTGGGGCTTCAGATGGTTTGGAATGTCATGAATACGGAAGCCATCATGTAATGTTTTTTCGGCAATGAGTGCTTTTCCTGCACCCTTTAAGAGAGTATTCTCAGAAGCAAGGAGGAGCCGAAGGGGAACTTCTAACACAAAGCAACTTTTTGAAATCAAGGGGTTGTGTAAGCATACAACTAAACGGCTTGGGACCAGGATACCTCAAGGAACGCCTTTTTCCTTACATGCCCTTCTGCCCTCTTAAGATCGGCAGCAGAGGCCTCCTCCGGGAACCCTCTTTGAAAGAGATTAGGAGACAGAGTACTCGGAGGAGGGCCTTCTCTGCGGTGGCGCCCCGACCATGGAATGCACTCCCTAAAGAGGTCTGCCTGGCGCTGTCATTATATGGCTTTTCGGTGCCAGGTTAAGACCTTTTTATTTGGCCAATATTTTAACATATAGTAATTTTAATTGTGCAAGACTTATTTAATTTATTTTAAATAATGCTCACTGTGGACTTGTTAACTTATTTTATTGAAGATTGAAATAATGTTGTAAGCCGTCCAGAGATGACAATAATGGATGGCCTACATTTTTTAAAATAAATAAAAAATTATTTAATTTTTAAAAATAAATAATTAAAAAACTAGACACTGCATAAGTGTCAGACCCTTCTTTCTTCTCAGGCTACTGAATTCCTGCTGTGTGCTTTTTCCCCTCAGACCATTGGCCTCATCCTAGGAAAGAGCCTTCAGTGGAGAAGCAAAGCTCCTAAATCTGTAGGAAATTCATTTATTTATTAGATTTATATCCCGCTTTTTTTCTGGCAAGGAGGCTTTATGGGAGAGGGCAGACTCAAATGAGTAGTCCAATCAATGGCACCCAGGTAAGTGGGTGGCACTTGGGTAGTTCTTCCAGGTGAATGGCCCAGAAGCAGCAGCAGGTTCCACCTTGAGGCAGAGTCAGGAGGGAGGGAAGGTATTCATTTGGGAACGAACTTCTTATCAACAAAACCTCACATCCCTAATGGCCAATACTCTAACTTTACTAGCTTCTTTTGTTACGGGCTTCTGCAGAACTCCTCTGCCATACCATAAAGCCAGGCTAGTTGGTCAGCTTCAACAGAATCAAACCTTTTAGCTAGAAAACCTTTGTCTTAACCTACTGGGGTGGAGTGGGAGAGGAATGACCTGGTCATCTGGCTAGCATAGCCAAAGATGAGGGTTCTTGGGTGTCAAAGGCCAGAACACCTGGAGGGCTACTATTTGCTCACACCTGGGTTAAACGGACCTGTTAAGAGGCAGCTTCCTGGACTTCGAATGCTGCTGCCTCTGCTTGCAAAATACATAGAAAACTAGGTCACTGAAGAGAAGGCATGGCTAGAATGTGCCCCTAGACTTCTAATTTTGAAGGAGTAGGTGCAGTCCAGCTTTGAAAGTCCCTTCTTCAAGGGGTCTGACCCAAAGCAGATATCCCCTCGGAACTGGAGCCAGGCAAGTGCCTAGAATTAACACGGCGAAGATTTAAATGTCCCTGAAAGGCTGAGATATTGTCAGTGAAAAAAAAGCCTAAAGGTGGGGGGAAACAACACAGCCCAGGGAGGGTGGCAAAGCATCTGGTGCAGCAGGGCGATGGGGTAGGGGGTACCTGGGGGGTGGACTCTTTCTAAAGGACTTGTCTGGCTGGAACTCCGGTCGTGCCGCATGCTGCGTGGTATTGCTGCTGGCCCCTCTCGTGCCAAGAGTAGAGTGTCTTTTTCTAGTGGGGGCAGGGTGGGGTATGGGGCTCTCCAGCTGCCAATTTCTGATGTTCTCTGCTGGTGGGGAATGCGTGGACTGGATTTCCAGCAGTCAGCATTGCAAGACTGCTTGTACCCGACCCTTTCTTTCTGTTCTCTGTTATTTCCTTCTCGAGAGAAGGGCCACGCACAAGGAGACAGCCCCTCCCCTTTTAATTAAAAAAGCTAATCTGCTCCTCCTTGAGAATCTCCTACTTTAAACCTAATCTTTTTTTTAAACCATTCCGATTGGTTTAGCGGGTAGCAGGTGCATCTGTGCTTGCTCCTTTTTTGTTATGATCCCCATCTAATAATTGCATTTGATTCAGATTCCATTTCTCTGTTTGCATCCTTGACTCATGACATGCGGTATTCCCAGTTTGTATTTGCAGGAAACCTCAGAAACGGGGGAGGCCACTGGGCATTTTGCTAAAGATAGAGTTGTAGACTGCTTCCTCCTAAAGGTTAAAACATTACCACTGTTGCTTTTTAAAATGCCCTTGTGCCCCTTTTCCAATTGGTTCTTATTTTTCCCCTTCCCCAAGATGCAGCCTGAAGTGGCCATGCAACCTGGGAACAATAGAAATGGCAATGTAACACGTCTGAAGGGTGTTAGGTTGGAAGAGGCTTCCTAGATTCCCCTGAGTTTTGGTGGGATCTTCCATGGATAAATTAGATATCATCAGAAGTTAGTGTGGTGCAGGAAAAGAAAGAACTAGACCAGTTTTGCCATTTTGCAAACTTCAGCTCCTCCTCTGTCTCCCGTTTGTACAGTAATTGTAGGCATTGAGCCTTGATCGTTGGGGTTGCAATAAGAGAAAATGAAATAAAGATCGAAAAACGTTTTCAGATTAAAAGCACTATCGGGAACGAGGATACATGGCCACAGCTAGGAACTGCAGTCCCCACAGAGTGCTTTCAGGAGTGAATGCAGTGACTTGTAATCCCGGCAAAATTGTGCTGATGGGATTAGGGGGGTCATCTAAGGTGAGCCCCCCAGCAAAGTGGAGCGCTCTGCATCTTGACATCGATTTCTGTCTATTAATTCCAGTCAGCCTTGGCACACGGCTCGGCGACTCTGCCTCTGTGTATCATCTGTAGGAAACGTTAAATCCCAGCTTTGGTGAAAGCAGTAATCATTTCCAAGCTCCCCCGTTTTCTTTTGCTGTCGGCAGTTCTGCGGATACTCCAGCTAAATAATAACAGCAGTTGTTCAGCCTGCAATAGCTCTTTTCTCATATTCCCCTCCTTTTGCCAAGTTCAGGAGAACCTTTAATGATCTCTCTGTCTGAGGATGGATCTCAGTGCTGGTAGAGCTTTGAAAAAAATGAAGATTACAAGACACAGACCTTTATATTCTGATGGACATGTCAGAACGTTGACCACATGCTTTGTATGAGGTGCATGACAAAGACCCACGGTGCCCCTTTATTTCCTTGAAATTTTGGGAGGGTGCACCAGGGCTGGGTTTACATTGTTGGTCCCCAGACTGGGCGCAACAATTCTTCTCTATGCCTTCATGCTGCAGGTCGTCTCCCAGCTCATAACCAAAGCGTTCGTTGGTGG